ATATCGTCCAAGAACTAAACATATTAGTATTCATAACGTTTCGTGAAGAAAAGATAGAAGCTTGAAGATACAGAAGTGGTTATAATCACATCCGATGATATTATTGCTGAATCTTCTACCAGAGCTTCAGCAGGTGAAAAGTTTATGAAGGATTGTACCAGAATGTGGCTGGAGCAATTGAATTACATCAAAAAGTGGAGGTATTAGAAATGATGCGATGTTATTGCGAATATCGTTCTATTTTCCGATATATCCAACCACATTCTGCTGACAGATTCAACTGTCTTTAAAGAAAAAGCCTACTTGAGTGAAGGTGCTTTACGAAGCACCGCCGAAGCACAAGCTTTACGAAGACACCGCCAGTGTGATTTATAGAAGACTTCGTATATCAAATACAAAGAGAAAAAGGCAGGGCAGGCAGTTGCAAAGCCAAGCTTCAAAATTGACCGCCGAACGAGCTTGTTTCGCTGCAGTTTTCATTATAAGCCAACTAGATGAAACCGCAGCTCAAAAACAAAGCCTTCATGATACCAACACCAGACAGTGCTGTTTCGTCACATCCATACCTCATCAGTGGAGCTTAGTTGAACCACAAATGCATTACTGGAATCAATTTCCTTCAGGAAACGAACCTGAGTGACTTCTGATTGAACCGAAGAGTTTTTGAGCTTGGCACCATTGATGAAACCCATGGTGGGTAGTAGAAACGCGATGTCTGATTTTGTATCACGAAAACTTTCAATTTCATTCCATCTGGTTGTCTCACAGTTCGATAGCTACGACAAGATTGATTTCGGGTATGAATGAATAGGCTTTCTAGATATTTCCAAATATATAATTGTCTCGGCCATGGAGATCCTTCTAGATCTACCTCCTCTCCACATTTTTCTGGAGAGAGAGGCTAGACGGACTGCATTCAGACTTGTGCACATTGCCAATTGCACAAATCAATTTAATGCGGAATGCAACAGATAGTTGGTTGATACAGCATTCTGGAAATGACCTCTGACTTTATGCATCCAACTACCAACAACGAACTGCTTTATAGAGTACTGTTCCTGAGTAGAGAGAAATGGATCCTCCGAGGGAAGGAAATATTAAGAGCAGATAGTTATTAGTTCACAGATGGATCAAAAACACCTTCCGGTTCTGGTTCAGGTGTTTTCAGTCGCAGACCCAGGACAGATATCAACCTGCCTAGGCAATGAGGCTGCTGACTCCTTGCAAAGAAGGGGGCTGCAAGCAAATTCATCGGACCAGAATCTGTCATTGGTATCGCTTCAGGCTTCACCAAACAAAGACTGTACATCTAGATGGCAAAAAGATTCATAGACTTCTGGCAGAATCTTCCAGGAATGGCTCATTCCAAGCCGTTCATTCATCCTTCGTAGCTTGACACCAAAGAGTTATTGGACTACAGTATGGAACTACGATGTCTAACGGGTCTTCTCAGAGGTCACTGTCATTTGAATCATATGCAGAGACTCGGACTGTCGGCTGAGCCGTACTTTCACCATCTGACCTGAAAGAACATTCACCATACAAATTATTGGACTTCGTTTAGCATCTGGGTTTATTTGGTCGAGTGTGAATAGGTGTCAGCCACAATGAACCCTAGCGGGTTGCGGTTGAGGGTCGAATAGACCCACTCACTTTAGACCTTACCTAACCAATGAGGGTGAGAAATGAATAGTTTCATGAAATTCGGTACTTGTCTTTCCCAAAACGAATTGAAAATCCTCCGGAGCGTAGAGCGACACCAGTGTCTCGTGAATATCGAAAAAGTGTCATAGGTGGTGATGAGGCACTCTTAGGGTCGTGTTATGTTGATGGATATGGGCTGAAACCGTATATAGTGAACATGACAGTAAGTAAGTAAGTAAGTGATGACACCTTGTGTCAGGAACTTGTATACCCATCACGGGACGGCAGTAGGTCTTGATGACACTATCCTGGCTGGCCATGATGAACTCCCCAGCTCACTTAACTTGAAGAAAACGAAGGCCATGCGCATTGATAAGCCAAAGTGTTCAAAGTTGTTAAAGCAAACTCCGTGCACATTTACTGGATTAACTTTTGGTTGCCGCAAGAGTAAAATGATCTCTGCGGTTTTTTGTCTGTCTTTTGCTGAACTTGGTGACACAGTTGTGGTCCCTTTGTTCAGTGTCGAAAACTAAACCAAGTTTCATCAGCTCCTTGGTTATATGCATTGAAAACCAAAGCTTCAATTCCTGGCCTCTCGTGGTCGCGAACTATGCAGAGAAGGAGATCCTAACTACTGATAACTTCACAGGCACAATCTGGTACTATTCTGTCATGTAGATACTATAAACTTGAAAGTTCACGGCCTCTTTGTTGACCAAGTTGACCTCTCCTGAAAAGGGTTACAGAAGTACCGGTTCTACCTTATACTGAATATTGAGCTCACATATATACATAGGATCTTTCATCAAGTGCTTACTATCTTTAAATATAAATAAAACAAAATGTGTGGGAGATATCTTTGGAATATTCTATTCTTCGAAACTATTGATGCCATTATGCGTGGAATATAATACAGGGCTATTCAAATTCGTTTCTGTACATGGGGATCTCGTAAACGATAAGAGATAGAGTGTCGGTTGAATTGTGGCAAAATTGTATATTTTAGAGACGTATTCAATGATGTAAACGAATCGAACATAGCTCTTGTAGTTCTGGAGATATACAGGAAAAACAAAAAAATCCCAAATAATTTTTTGGACTGTATCTTCTTTATTCGCAGACATATTGAAAATCTGCACACATTTTGCTATTGGCCTTTGATGTGGACTCTCAGAATATATCCATGAATCTTTTATACAGGGTGTCATCTGACTTGGGCCACCCCCATCTTTGAATTTTTGAATACGGACTTGTACTTTTTGTTGTAGTCTTTGGATCGTAGACGTTCACTTCATACTGAGAAATTAAATTCAATTTCATACTTCGGGATGTTTCGGTAATATTCGATTATAATTTTGTGAATTATTCCCTTTTGAATTACGGCCCTGGAAATTGGTTGACTGAGTTGAATAGGGTGACCCAAGTCATATGACACTCGGTATAAAAGATTCATGGATATATTTTGAGAGCCCACATCAAGTGCCAATAGCAAAATACAGATTTTCAATATGTCTGCGAATAAAGAAGGTATATATAGGCAAAAAAATAATTTGTGATTTTTTGGTTTTTCCCGTATATCTCCAGAACCAAAAGAGCTATATTTGATTTATTCACATCATTGAATAGGTTTCTGAAATACGCAACTTGGCAATAATTTAACCGACACTATCTCTTATCGTTTACGAGATCCCCATGTACAGAAACGAATTTGAATAGCCCTGTATACAGTTCAAATGTGGAGCACATCCGAAACGTTCAATTTTGCATGACACTGACGCATAAATGAGGCTGAACTCGAGTAATGACATGGGTTATGTTAGCTTTGACGACCGCTGTGGTTTGTGGCTCATTCGCATACACCTGCGACTCAAGAAAACCCCAGAAAAAGTAGTTGAACAGGGTCAAATCGCACGATCTCGGTGGCCTTTCCACAGCACGTCCACGTGAGGTGACTATGCCCTAAAATCGCTCGTGCAGAATATTTAATGTGGTACCAGCAGTGTGGCACGTAAGGCCGTCTTGTCAAAATTACATGTCGTTGGTCTCCATGCTATCCAATTCAGGCCAGAAGAAGTTGATGATCTTCGACTCGAAGTGCTCGTCGTTGACAGTGATGGCCTGGCCAACGCCGTTTTCAAAGAAATATGGACCTATGGCGCCGCCAGCCCAAAATCCACACCAAACAGTGACTTTTTCGAGATGCATTGGACGCCCTTGGATTTCATGTGGATTGATTTCGTTCAAATCCAACAATTTCTACGTACCCATTCATCCAAAAATGGACCTCATCGCTGGGGATGATTTTTCTACTAAAATTAAAGTCAGTTGCTAACTGCTCCAGAGCCCATTGCCTATGGTTGTTTACCAGTTTCTGGGTTAGTTAAAATTTTCACGGATGCAGGCCCAAGACACGATGCAAAATTCGCCAAATTAAATTCTGCGAAAGGCCGAGTTCTTGTGAGCGAAATCGACTGCCGCGGCCTCTGCTGCACATACTCACAGACAGCGGCTGTAGATCTTGAGTTTAGTCGACGAATGGACGGTCGTTAACTGAACAAGGGAACTCAAATTCATCAACCACATGACGAATAGTCCTCTTGATAGGACGATTAATTTGAGAGATGTAGCTTCAACAAGATGGCCGTTATCAATTGTCAAAGTTGTAACTGACACCTCATAATGAATCCGAACGTTCTAATAACCTCATCAATTATGTCATGAGCATGACGTTGAAATCCATTTGTTCAAATAACGAATCTGATGAAATATGCGCTTCTGGTGTTTGTATGCACGCATTCTGTAGAGAATACAATCACGAAAAGTGTAGTTTTACGGTTGAGGTTTCAAGACTCGCCGATGATAATCATCATCAATAGATAAAACTCTACTCACCTCCTTGTAGAGACGGGTAAATGAAAAACGATGGTTCTTGTACCCATGATATAATCCTAACTAAGTCTTTAACAAAATTTGGCACTAAACACTTCAACACTGCGCTACAACCACGAGCTGCACTAATCACTTCAACATCGACTCTGAATGACTGCGTTACCACTGCAAAAAAGAAAAGAATTATTACTCTGATCACGTTTGCAGAATCGATATTTTCTATAAGGAGTCTTTTTCCACACCGTAACGAAAATACAGCCTCTCGTCGCGCGATTCACTAACCAAGTTTGCATCATCAGGAAATGACTGACTATTTGGTTGGCGAAAAGCGCGTCGAAAAAAATAATTCTTGTTCTGTTGTGGAAGAAGAGTTTATAATACTTTCATTATACGCGAGAGGTTCCAGATCTACCTATCGAAATATTTGAAGAGGTAGAGCCACCAGAGCCACAAAACCCATGATTTGTGGGCGTTTTTTTGCTATTTCAATATTTTTTGTATATGTTAAAAGTAACAGTTTTTTTATTTTGCTCTGAATGGTTTTGGCTGATGATGTGATTCATCAAATCACATGAAATATCACATGAGTACCATAATAAAACTATCAAATTTTCATCATCTCACAAGTTTTTAGGGCTGTTAATTGATGAAAATTCATTGTGGTGTATCTCTCAAAACTAGAATACTTTTCGAAATTGGGTAAAAAAAAGTTGATATTCATCGCCGTTGGCCTGGCCAACAGATACAGATAGGGTGAGTCACCAACTGCTCCAGAGCCATTCAGCGAACACACTTCGTTGTTTATAGTCGTTCACCCTCAGTTCCTGGGTCAGTTGAATTTTGTATGGGTGCAGGCTCAAGTCACGACGCAAAATTTGCCAAGTTGTGGTCTGCGACAGGCCGAGTTCTTATGAGCGACGCAGAATCGACTGCCTCGGATTCTCCTGCACACTCTCACAAACAGCTGTGTAAAAGAAATCGTCTATGGAATAACAACACTTACTAAATAGGATCTTTTTCAGTCTTGATTTAAAGATGTGAACATTGGGGGATGATTTTATATCATCATCAAAAATATTATAGAGCTTACAACCAATACAATAAAAATTTCTTCGATACAGAGATGTGCGATGAAAATAAGGCTGCAAGAGATTTCTATGATGGGTGTTATAGCGATGATTGTTATCTATTGCAAACTTATTTTTATTCTTATAGATATAAGTGCAAGTTTTCAGTATATATAAACTGTAAACTGGTAAAACACCAAGAGTTATAAATTATTGAAGACAACTTGTTCTCATATCAATACTTTTCGTCAGATTTTGCGTTTCGTCGACGTACGGGTATTGGTCGATCGTTTACTGAACCAGTGGACTCGAATTTGTCCACCACATCGTGAAAACTTCGCTCCATAGGACGATTATGGCTACCGTAGAATGGGCGAAGCGCGCGGTACGTTGCTCGAACAGAACACCCAGTTTGATGTAACAATTTTATTATTTGCACGTGTTGTTGAATATTACATCCATTCAAGGTGATCTGGCAAACATATTAAAAAAATGACAACTTATTTGACAGATGTAGCTTCAACAAGATGATCTTTATCAATTGTCAAAAATAACGGATCTTCCTGTTGGGAAACCCTTTATTTGATAAGTCAGGTTTTTGAAAAATGATGACCTATGATTGATAACACCAGATATAAAATAGGAATTTGAGAGTGCTTCAGTAAATTAAATATACACTGTTGTAGCGAGCAGTTGATATTATGATCATACTATTATTGAATGAACGCTTATACTACAACTCGGGGTATTTCATTAGGAATCAGTAGGGTACCACAAAATAGAAAAATGTTTGATGGAGAACCTTCCAATCTGAGTCTCACCTGAATTTTTTGTACATTTTAATGAATATTGAGTGAAGGAGAGAGTAAGTAAAAGTCACGATATCTTTCCTGGGGAAAAAGCCATCTAGAGGTCGACAAAGAATTCAATCCCCGAAAATGAAAGATTAACGAAGCTCCCTTAAGGAGTCAGTTGCAAAGCCAAACTTTGACATGGACTGCCAACGAGAATCGTCCTCGTCTCTCACTACAGCTTCCAGTGCAAGGCAACTAGTAGAAAACCAAAGCTTAAATACAAACTCTTGATTCAACACCAGACATCATAGGTCTCGGACTCGGCATAGGTCTCATCAGTGGTGCTGAGCTAAACCACGAATGTATTATTGGACTAAACTGCCCTTAAGGGACAAGCCTGATTAAGTGGTGGCGATGACGTCTCCCCTTACAAAGACGCCATCTATGGAATCGACAGAGAACTCAATCTCCGAACATGAAAAATGAACGACGCTCCTCTCGAGAGTTTTATGTCGATCCCATAGATGGCGTTTCCGTAATTGCTCTCACTTACTCAGGCTTGTTCTCTGAGGACAGTTGACTGAGTCCTCCAATGCGTTCGTGATGCACTGATGACACATATGGTGGGTTGAAACAAGTCTGTCTGGTATTGGATCATGTTTGGGCTCTGGTTTTTGAATCTTTCCATGGAATCATGAATAGACATGCTTTCTATGATATGATGCATGTGATCGTATGCTGTTTCGATTCATAAATAACGGTTAATTTGTACAGCTTTGCATTTACTGAGTGTCTGAAACCTACTTCATATATCCAAATATGCTAAGTGACAAAGAAAGTTAAACACCCATCTATATTGAAAATATTCCATTAATTCTTCACTGACATACTTGAGAGATAATAGCAAACAAACGAGTAAGTTTTCAGAGAAATTGGATGATCGTGAAATCAGTAAAGTTCAGTAGTGTGTTGCAGATCCTCGATGTTTTATACACTCGTGAATACGTTTGGTCAATGTCCTGATAAGGAGGTCTGAATCCTGTTGTGGTATTTCAGTCCACCCTTCTTCTAACTCATGTTTAAGTACTGCCAATGTCTGTGGAGGCTGCAGAAAATTCAGCAGTCTGCGACCAAGAACAGCCCACACATGTGAAAGATCGGGCGATCTGGGTCACTATGGTGAACGGTTAATGTCACGCTGATCCATGAAGACTAGAATTACTCTAGCCACATGCTGTCTTGTTGAAATATTGGGTTCCTGATGGCGCAAGATATGGAAGGACATCAGGCTCCACTACTTCGTGAAGAAGAGCTGTCATGTTACCTCTAATGGAGACTAAAGGTGCCCTGCTACTATATGCAATGCCACCCCTTACTAATAAACCAACAGTATGGTGAAAATGGCTCTTCACATCAAACTGGGGATCTCGTCTTTCACCACGAAGCCTTCATACTCTTGCTCGTCCATCGTGCATACTCCAAACGAAAGCGAGATTCATCGCTGAAAACTACGCGGTTCCACTGTTGATCTCAATTTATTCTGTCTCTGTACCAGTGCAATCGGTTTCGTCGATGCTCGAGGATCAGGGGCAACACCCAATGTGGATGATCAGAAGAAAGTCCGGAACTTCTTATTCGCCGATATACTGTTCGCATTCTAACAACCCTCTCGTGTTCTTCAAATCACTGATTTGCAATTGCCCTAATAGAAAAGAATCGATCCCTTAGAGCCAAAAGTCTTAGTCGGCGATCCTTTGACATAATTGAGAGATAATAGCAAAGGAACGAGTAAGTTTTCAGAGATATTGGATGATCGTGAAATCAGTAAAGTTCAGTAGTGTGTTGCAGATCCTCGATGTTTTATACACTCTTGAATACGTTTGGTCAATGTCCTGATAAGGAGGTCTAAATCCTGTTGGGGTATTTCAGTCCACCCTTCTTCTAACTCATATTTAAGTACTGCCAATGTCTGTGGGGGCTGCTGAAAATTCAGCAGTCTGCGACCAAGAACAGCCCACACATGTTCGATAGGTGAAAGATCGGACGATCTGGGTGACTATAGTAAACGGTTAATGTCATGCTGATCCATGAAGACTAGAATTAGTCTAGCCACATGTTGTCTTGTTGAAATATTGGGTTCCTGATGGCGCAAGATATGGAAGAACATGAGGCTCCACTACTTCGTGAAGAAGAGCTGTCATGTTACCTCTAATGAAAACTAAAGGTGCCCTGATACTATATGTAATGCCACCCCTTACTAATAAACCAACAGTATGGTGAAAATGCCTCTTCACATCAAACTGGGGATCTCGTCTTTCACCACGAAGCTTTCATACTCTTGCTCGTCCATCGTGCATACTCCAAACAAAAGCGAGATTCATCGCTGAAAACTACGCGGTTCCACTGTTGATCTCAATTTATTCTGTCTCTGCACCAGTGCAATCGGTTTCGTCCATGCTCGAGGATCAGGGGCAACACCCAATGTGGATGATGAGAAGAAAGTCCGGAACTTCTTATTCGCCGATATACTGCGCGCATTCCAACAACCCTCTCGTGTTCTTCAAATCACTGATTTGCAATTGCCCTAATAGAAAAGAATCGATCCCTTAGAGCCAAAAGTCTTAGTCGGCGATCCTCACGCGCTGTTGGTCCCCTGCGACGACCGAGGACCTAGCTCTGTGTTCTTGGCCTTCTTGGGTCCATGCCTGATAACAATTTAGAAGAGTACGCAAAAATCTGCTGGTTCTTCTTGAAATTTCTCTAACTGAAAAACCTACAATACGTAAGCCAACAATTCCTACCCTCTCAAAATCACAAAGTTTAGGAATACGACGAAGTCTCCGCACACAAGGCATAGTGTTAACAAAACGAAACACTTCACAACGAACTCTTTAACAGTTGAAGCACAAATAAAAATAAAAATTAGAGAAATGGTGAATGTTCACACAAAAAAAAACAGTCAAAAACTGGTCAGAATAGTTTTCGATAAGGTTGAAATTTTATTTGCGTTTTACTGGCCTCAACATAAATACACATGCAAAACAATATTGAAATATTTTCAATATCACTCAGTATAGTGATTCAGCGAAAACACATCTGACAATTTGTGAAGCTTCGTCTCTTTAAATTCAATTAAAAAAAAAGTGGGTCACAAACTCTTTCATTTCAGAAATTGTACTCATTTTTTGTCAACATAATTCCTTCGTTGCATTATGAATATTCAATATTCGCGTTTAATATATTTTGACTGAATGAAACCAAATTACAGTTTTTAATTAGACGCTGTCACTTCGGATTCCGAAGT